CAAAAGTCCTTACTCTCAGCAGCCCCCCTCCCAAAATAAAATTTTTTTTTTAAGTGATTAGAGCTCATTTGAGAGGTAAGGTATGTAACACACTCTACATTTTCATTTGGTAACACATTCACAGATTTTTGTGTGCAACACATTGTCCTGGTCGCTAGCAAAGTGGGCTAAAGAGTTTAATCATGATAGACATCCATGCTACGCTCACTAGAAGGCAGTTCAACTAACCAACCCAAAGAGCTGTCTTCAAATCATTTTCAACTCTCAACTACCCTTGACCACACAACAGAACTGCTCCTCAGGGTTTTTGAGACTGCAAGTCTTTATAGGGAAACAGCCAGCCTGCAGAGCAGCTTGTGTTTGAAATGCCAACCTTGCAGTTAGCAGCCCCATGATTAACCAGGGCACCACCAGGGCTCCTTGTTAAGAAGTCCCAAAAGGGGCAGTGACTAGTGGTTAAGATTATGGTTCCTGAAGCCACATTGCCTGCTTTTTTAAGTGTCATCAAGTCGGTTCCGACTCACAGCGACCCTGTATAGGGTTTCCGAAGAGCAGATGATGAGTTTGAACCGCCAACCTTGTGGTCCAGCGCATTATCCTGCAGCGCCACACCATACTTATTTCATTGCTGTGTGATGTAGGCCAAATTAACCTCTCTATTCCTGTTTCTTCATCTGTGAAATGAGAATAACACATTTATTAAGAGGAACAAATGGATTATCTAGGTAGACCTGTCAGTGATACCAGGGAAGTACAGGGCACAGCTTTTTTTTTAAGTGATTTTTAACTGCAATGGGATCAGGAAGTCAGTCAACATAAGGGAAGGACTGGATGAAGAGTCCCAAGTAGAGACAGAATCAGAGCAGGGGATCCACCCAGTTATAGATTCAGGGCAACTTGGTGGAAGAATAAGGTTTTCCCCTGTGCTATTGAGGGGAGGTGGCTAGCAGACCAGGGTGTGAACAGGGGGTGCTGGGTGATGGCAGGAGGGAAGTCTCCTTTGCATTCCTTCCCATCTGCTCTAGAGCCCTGTGCAGCATTGATGAACTCTCATTTTTAGTTCCCTTCCCCTGCCCCCTCAGGTCCATCCTAGCTAGAACCCTGGAGGCAAAAAGTTCACACACACATGCATGACCGACTTCCCAGAATTTGCCTTTGTTTCTACTTCACAGTGGGCTGCGGAGGGCATATGAAAAATGGGAGGGAAACGCACAGAAGCACCAAGCAGCTTCTCGGAGACCAGGCCCTACCAAGGACTGTAATGTCTACAAGTGTTTGAAGCTAGTTTGGGGAGGAGAGTATGGACCTTCTAGCTCTAAGGAAACAATTTTGGAGAGGGCTGCAACCTGAGTCAGGCAACAGAGTAAGGAACGTTTCTTCTCAAATAAAAAAAGTGGTCAGGTGATACAGCAGCGGATTCTCAGGAACCAAGGGAAACCAACAGAGATAACTGTTTGGGCGGTGGAGGGTGGGCCTGTCATCATGCTTGCTGTGTACCAGCCTCAACCCTAATTCCATATGCTCTTTCTAAATTTTCCTTGGATTAATTTTGTGTAATACATGTAAATTTTTAATAACAAGTCTTTTTTATAATAATGGATAGATATGTCTCCCATTCTTCCTGTCACCAATGCATTTTGTGTGCTCCACACAGCCAGTGAGATCTTGGGCACAGGACTGATGCAGTGATCTAAAGTTTCTTAGCTGTCACCCTTTCCCACCTTAAGAAGAGCCTGTCCATTTCGGCTAGAACAAAACCCCCAGACAAACCTATTTTTATCAAGTGGATTCCAACTCATAACGACCACGTGTGGGGTTCCTGAGGAGTGGCTGGTGGGTTTGAACCACCAACCTTAAGGTTAGCAGTCCAATGCTTATCTTACGGTGCCACACCAGGACACCAGCAACCCAGTTTTCCTACCATTTTCTCTCTTGTGACTCAGAACCTGTTTGTCTGCATATTCTCTTCCTGCTGAGACTCTGTCCCTTTGAATCCCCTTTTTTGTCTTAAGCAAAGTCCACACCTGCATGAAAGTTTCTCTGACTTCCTAAACACTTACCTTCTGAATCCAAGTGCCACTCTGAATGGGACAGCCTACATGTTAAATAAGCGGAAGATGCAACAAAGGAAGATGTTTCTCCAGGTCTTCTCTTATTTTACTAATACCAGAAAAACAATGTAAGGACTTGGTATTTACTAGCATCTACTTTATTTCTGCCTGCATTATCAGCTAGCATCCTCATCCTCTGGTTTAATGCTGCTGCTGCTTTGTGATGTCAAGAGGTTCTGAAGCTATACACCTGTACGGAAGCACAAAGACTCATCTTTCTCCCTCAGAGTGACTGGTGGGTTTGGACTGCTGACATTGCTGTTACCAGCCCAACAGGTAAAGCACTACACTACCAGGGTTGGAAGCTTCTAGCAGTTAACTGAACAGGGGCCTTAGCCTTTTGCTCAAGTTGAAGCAAAGTCAACTCTGGAATGGAAGGTACTATCAGGTGATAACTCGTTTATGAGTTCATATCTGTCTTCACTTACATGACTATTATAGCAACCAAAACCAAGCTGGTTTTCATCTTATACTTCAAGATGCCTTAGAACCATGAACATTTCGTAGGTGAGTGCAATTAGCATCAATAAAGAACCCATGAATGCTGATTAGTTCTTACACACCGTCAGTGAATAGCACTCAAAAACCCAATAAAATCCATTGTTTATAGATAACACACCTATCTAGAACAGTTCCCAGTTGACCAGAATTTCTTTGGTCTCAAGAAATTTTTGTTCCAGGGTACAGTTTATCATTCTAGATACAGGAACTCACTAACACCAGCAAAAGAACAATTCCCTGGGGACCTAAGCTTACCAAGGGCTCAATCCATTTTTCCCTGCTTTCTCTAGGCTGCCTGTGGATCACTGAGCCCCGGGACCAGGCACTGGTGGGAGCGAATGGGGAACACGAACTGCGGCAACACCAGGGCAACATTCCACAGCCATCTAACTGTGGGTCTCCTTTTCCTTTTGTAGTTACTTTTATTTAGTTTTAATACAAAGTTAAAGCTATAATAGGATCAAAACAATCTTGTAAGATATGTGACACTTAAATTCTATAAACAGGAAATGGGAGTCTATTTCCTCCCAATTTCCTCAGACAATGCCATACCTCCTATAAGCAGAAAGACAGAAAGCACGGCACTTCTGATACTTGAATTCTCTGTCCCTGCTTGTCCTGTCTGTGTGACAAGTGGATTTTGATTCATAGCAACTCCATCGGACTGACTGGAACTGCCCCCATAAGGTTTGCTAGGCTCCAACTGGTTTTCTTTGTCCTCTCAATTTTATTTTGTAGTTTTGTAGTTGCTGAAAGGGTCTCACCTTTGGGAGCCTCTCCTCAGAAAAATGTTCTTTCAACTCGAAATACTGAATGTACTTCCTTGCATCTATGAAACACATCCATGGAATTCTTAAAGGTCCAAGCCCCCAGATTAAGAACCTGCATGTCTACCAGATACCCATTTACTCCAACTCTTGAAGAATCGGAAGCTCACTCCTGGCAGTTTTCCTTCTCCAACTCTGGGCTACAACAAAAAGTAGGTTGCGTGTGTTGGGGGGGAGGTGGGCATCTTTATCTCTTAGTTATTGCCCTTGTTTTCAGCTATGTCAAGTGAGTCTATAGGACCACAAGGGAGCATACAGTTTTCTTCTTATGAAAATTCCAAGATGATACAGAGGCGTCCAGAAGCACACAGAAGAGCTACTACATAGTCCATTACCCACCCGGTAAATGTGGCAGAATTCGTAGTCTGTGGGTCTGTCTGCAGTATCTGTGATGTCAGGTTAAGGAAACCATCTTCAGGCTTGCACTGAGCCTTCCCTTCAGGAGACAGATTTGGACTGAACTCTGAAATGCTTATAAGGAAGGTCTGGGCCTGAGATAATTCTTAGCACATTAAATCCCTCTTGCATGTCTAGTCCGAGATAAAGTGGCCATTCTACATCAAGGTCAGAGAGTGGAAGGGCTGCTTTTGCCTGGCTTTCACCTTGCTCTTGCTATGCTCACCTGTGCTGTCACTCTGTAGGTACTGATAGGTTTGGTCAGGTATGTCCATTACTATTATCTGCTCTACTCTGCACAAAGATGCTAATTAAGGTTGGAGCATTGGCTTTGGTGTCTAGTCTTGCCTTGGACAGATGAATAACGACCAGCTATTTAGTTGCTCCCATTTGTATTCCAAGCACTGTGAACACAGACTTTCAGAATCCCTTCACAATCAAGATGTCAGATATCTGAAACCATTCCCCAGGTCAGAAGGCATCTGGAGACAGCATGAATTTGTGACTACTGCTGTCCACTTCGGGAGCTGCCTTGAAGTTGGCCATTAGAGACTTAAGATCCGAATTTTCTGTGAGCATCCAGACCTCAGATCACCTTTTATTTACTTGGCTCACTAAGAGATCACGGTGATGTTAGGGATATAAAAGAGCTACCAGTGCCTGGGAGACCAGGCTTCGTGGTGAGCCCTGGCCACCACTAATGCTCCACGCTGACTCCACAGGACTTGCACAAGTACAAGCAAGGGACCCACAATAATCACATGTGTGCCTGCTAAGGAAAGAGTGTATGTATAGTGCACCTGCTGAGGAGAGCCTGCAAGTCCCAGGTTGGCACGTTGGTCCTGACTTCTTACAGACCTTCCTGCTGTGATGGGCTTCAGGAGAGAGACACGTCAGAGCAGCAGCCCACAGGCCTCCTATTCTGTCTCACCCCACACTCCAGACATGTGCTGGGCTGATGCCTGTCCTACGTGGGGCATCTCTCTCCAGGTCCCCTCTTCATTTCGATTCTGTCATTTCCACAAGGGCTGCAGGTGGGCCTGTACACTTGTAACCAGAAAAGAACAAGGAGCCACAGGGAATCCCAGGGCCAGTGACAAGCCAAAGTAGCTGGATCCGCAAAATAATGGGGAAATACTGGCAAAAAAAAAAAAAAAAAAGACTGAATTTCCAAAAGGTAAATTTCTGTGTATTCACGCCTAATCTTGAAAAGTTGTGTAAACAATTTTTTTTCTACCTTCCCCCATCATTCGCACATTTTTTTTTTGTCAGGTCCAAACGTAATTGAAATGAGGTAGGTAGCTTATTCTACTCGCGCCTTCGTCTCTGGTGGCTGCGGGTCTGTGCCGGGAAAGCACTGTCTCCCATGCGGGGAGCGCCAACAGGGAATACTGGTCCTTGGGGAGTTTCTCAGTTGGCGATTTTCTCAATCTCATCCAAGTCGTCCGTGTCCAGTCTTTCTATATTCTTATCTGGGGAAAAAGATGCAAAGAGTAATCAACCTGGGTCCCTGTAGGATGTAGCTGATGGCACCTGGGCAGGGGCGGCGCAGCAAAGAGAGGACACTGTCATAGGCACGGCTGGAGCCCAGGTCCCGTCCATCTGGCCCTGAAGGCTCTGTGAGGTGAGTCCTGGAGCACTGGGGGTAACATCCACATTTTAGAAAAAGGAGGGGAATGTGGGCAAGGACGAAAGCTTGCCTCAAGGTCACAGGAATCCCCGACCACCATCCCTCTGATAAGGAAAAGGGTGTAGGCAGAGGCCATCCCAGGGACCCACTAAAATGCTCCTGGATCCTGTTGAGGATGTTCATGCTGTGTTTGCTGTCCACCATGTTCACGGCCAGGCCCCTCTTGCCAAAGCGGCCGGTGCGCCCGATCCGGTGCAGGTAAGTCTCATTGTCTGGGTTTCCATCCTTGTCCACGGGAAGGTCAAAGTTGATGACGACAGACACTTGTTCCACATCAATACCTGCACCAAAGAGAGTTGGTATAGAAACGCCAACAGGAGACAAAAATCATTGTTGCCCAAAGTTAGGCTGAAGTCTGCCAACTTCTGGAGAGGGAAGTCTGGGTGGGTCAGCTCTGGGACTGAGGGACACAGCAGCAAAACCCAGGGGAATGGAAAACAACTTTGGCAAGTGCCTAATGCTCCAACTAAAAGGTCAGTTTGAATTGTAAGGTTGGCAATTCAAGCTCACCATCCGCTCCTTGGACCCTTACAGGGTCTCTGTAAGTCAGAACCAACTCAACGGCACTTAATAACAACAAATTAGGAGATCAGGAAGAGCTTTGCTGATAAAATCATCTGGAGATGGAGCTACCAATTCACTGGGTGCCTTGTAAAGAGCCTGTTCCATGCTAAGGCACTGAGCCAGGACTCGTGGCTGCTGTGAAAGTAACTATCTGCGGTGGGTAATCCCAGTCTCTCTTTGAGAAATACGTTACCACAAATCCCCCGCTGCCCCGCCAGGTCTCCCCATTTCTCTAAGGAGGCCTGGGACCCTGAGCCTGGAAGACCAGAATGCATTCTTGCTCACCGCGAGCACACACGTTGGTGGTCACCAGAACCTTCTCTTTGCCCTCTCGGAAGCGCTCAATTACAGCAGCTCTCTGCTCCACCACCATTTCGCCACTCAGCAGAGCCACCTGGTGGCCTTCTTTGGAGAGCTCTGCTGCCAGCCAGCTGGCTGTCTTGCGTGTCTGAAGGAGAGAAAACATTGGACAAATGAAGGTATTTACAGAAAATAGTTTTTTATCTGGAGAACTCTGTTTGAAACTCAGCAGCTAAGGGTTAAACTTCCTAAAATTACTAAATTCTGAGGATGTTTAAAAAGTCACACCAATGAGTAGAAATGTGAGAGAATACATATATGCAAATATATACACAGGTCTTACTGAGTATCATGGAGTCAGTTTTGACTCATAGCAACCCTATGTAGGGTTTCCGAGTTCCCGAGGAATGGTTGATGAGTTTGAACCACCAACCTTGGGATCTAATGCATTATTCTGCAGTGCCACACCAGGGCTCCTTATGACCTAACAAATTCTTTGTTGGCACCTTTACAAATAGAATGATGTGGCGCACACCATCTTTACCATATATGGAGGGATCGTACTAATAACCACCAATACGGAGAAAGCCTTACTGTTGTAATGTCGGACAGGCAGTAACCTTACAGAGACGTTAATCCTGAGTATAATGTGGTGGTGGTGGCAGTAGTAGTGTGGTATGGAGTCGGTTCCAACTCATAGTGACCCTATGTAGGGTTTCCGAGGCTGTAAATCTTTACGGGAGCAGAAAGCCTCATCTTTCTCCCGTGGAACAGCTGGTAGTTTCGAACTGCTGACCTTGAAGCTATCAGCCCGACTTATAACCACTACTCCACCAGGGCTCCTTGAGTATAATCAGGATTGGGGAGAAATCAGAGAAATTATGAAAAACTATCTCCTAGACATTCTAAAAATATCCACATCAAGAAAGGCAAAACCAGAAGAAACAAAGGGAACACCCTTCCGTGTCCTTCCCAGGCAGGCATGTGCTGCTTGCTACTCACGTGGCAGAAGATCATGGCTTGGGCAATGGTGATGGCCCCGTAGAGGTTACACAAGGCCTGGAACTTCTCATCTCTGTTAGTGCACAGGACGTAATATTGCTTGATGGTGTCCAAGGTCTCCTCCTCGCGCTTTAGTTTGATAATGTTTGGGTCTGGGACCACTTTCTGGGCAAACTTCCACACGGAGTCTTCGAAGGTGGCCGAGAAGAGAAGCATCTGGCAGTTCCTGGGTAGCATCCTGCAAGGCAGGGCCCAGGTGTCTTGCATGACCCTGAGTGTTTCCACTCAGAGAAACAGAAGAATGGCCTCCCCAGGAAGGAGACAGAAGACCTGGGATATGACAGGGGTGGTGGCAGAGTCCCTAGAGATCCTCTGTCAACCCAGCCTGGGGAGTATGAGCAGTGCTGACATGGAACTGGCCACATGAAGTACTCAATCGAGTAAGTGAAGAACTCAACAGGAGTAAGGGGAGAAAGGGAAAAGGTGCCGCAGTTCAGGAGGGTGAGCATGTCCCCCGTGCTCCAGTGCGGCCTACCTCTGGATACGGATGCTCTGATCTTGGTGGCCCTGAGTAGCTATCATCACGTCAGCCTCATCCAGAACAAACACCTTGATCTTCTTGGGGTCGATGAACTTGAGCTTGGAGCACCAGTCCAGCACAGTCCCAGGAGTGCCAATGACAATCTGCTCGCCAATTTTGTGACCTCTTTCCACTGTGGAGATATGATGTTTTCTGTGGTGTTTCTATGGGAAAGCAAGTACTCCTCTTTCGAGAAATTCTAACATCATGAGGTCATTTTAATATTTGCATTAATATTTTGTAGAAAGGTTAGGATACGGTATTTAACAAACTGTTCAAAAGACACAGAAAAGCTAAGAATGAGAAGTTAAAGACTTGTGTCTTATTTCAGTCAGCTAGTTCTCTAACTATTTAGTGTCTTCATTTCTCCTTGTCAACACCATTCTACCTAGAATAAGATTGTATTCCATTATGTAGATGTTTAAAGGTTCTTATTTCATCAATGCATTCTGTTCCCTCAAACTACCTGGCAGCTACAAGGAGACTTCAAAAAGTTCAGTGGAAAATTCCATTTTCCCAGGAATTCTTTGAATCCTCCTGTATTTTAAACAAGTAGATTAACTTTAAGTCCCTTCCTTCCTGCCACCCCACCCTGCAAGTCATTAAGCAGAACTTAAAATGCGATTCCCCAAACTAGGCCTGGCCAACCTTGGTGCATTCTCAGTCCCATGCAGTCCAGAAATGAATCTGAGAAATAATGGCCATATCATTATTCGGCTCACTGTGTCCAATTAATCAGTACTACTGACTCACTTTTCACTCCCACAGCATTTATAATCTTGACTAGCCTTGAGCTGGGGTCCTGGGACTCTACAAGTGCAAGCCATTTCCTTGACAACAGACTTCTCTCTCTTTATACACACACACACATATGTATGTTTTTCACTGGTTTTGCTTCTCTAGAAAACTCAGCTAACACATATGGTACCGAAAGAGTGGGGTTCTAGAGAAACAAATCACAAGGATGAGCTTTCTACATTGGTTCTCAAGTCTAATTTTAAAGGTACTGATACAGGGTGGAGTCATGTCTGCTCTCTGATCCATAGGAATTGGCCCTGAACGGATTTTGAGTTTGAATCTCTTTCCCCCTTGTGGAGTCAGAGGAAGTCAAAGCCCCTACATGGTTTTTGCAGTTGGTGTCAGGAGTGGGATTCATTGTAATGACTCCAGACTCAAGGAAGCATGAGGTTTTGTGAAAGAAAGAACCAAGGGGCATGGGAATGAAGGTTAGTTTGGATTTTGTTATCTGTTACCTGCAATGGCTGAAAGGAATGTAGGGGACAGAAGGCTTCAGAGAATGAGGAGAATGGCAGGTTCTGGAGTTGTCTAAAGTAGATGTCATTCAGGTTGAACTAGATGGCTAGTAGGGGGCCAGGGCCTATTGGACCCACTCTGCCTGAGGCCCAAGGCCATATACATAGGAATAGGGTTGTTGTTGTTAAGTTCTGTGGAGTTGGTTCCGACCCATAGCTACCCTGAATAGGGTTTCCAAGGAGTGACTTTTGAGCTTGAACCGCCACCCTTGCAGTTCAAACCAACTTTGCAGTCCAGCACATTAACCGACAACGCCATACCAGGACTCCAGGAATGGGGTTATTCTAAGGGAAAAGACTGAACTTGAGTTGAGTGTTTTTCAAAGATTTCTGTTGGTTAAAAAAAGTTTAACTGCCTCATGGATATTGGTTTCTCCTGCCTATTAATGTAAAATAAATATATAGAAATGAATATTGGGAATTATGATTACAGAGCGTTTGCAAGCCCGCCTCAGCCTTTACTTGATTGGATGTGCTAACAGGGGAGTTAGAATTTGCCCAGTAAGAAACAGGTTTTTGCTTTCAGCCTTTGGAGTGTATGAGATTTAGGGGGAATCCACAGCCCTACCCAGAACCTTCAGAGTTGGAACATTTGCATTGGAAAAGACACGCAGACCAACCCAGAACTGCTGAGAGACTAGGCGATTCATGCAGGAAAAAAGCAAACAGTTTTGGCTTTTTAAGATTCAAGGATGTTGTTTGCTTTGGAGGCATCATCAGAGAAAATCCCCTTCTAGGACTGAAAATTAAAGGGGACTGGAGCATGTGCTTGCTGGTGACCACCTGGGTCTTTGTGGACGTGGAATTGGAGGAAATGCAGCAATGAAGACATGGGCACCCACTCTCCTTGAGATGAGAGAGAGAAGAGGAAGGCTGACATGGAGTTGTGTGAACTCCTGAGCCCATGGACACTGGGGGCTAGGGTTGAGAATGAAGGGGTCAGCTAGTCTAAGTGCAGGGAAATGTGTGTGAGCTTCCACACTTACAGCTGGTACCCTTTTAACCTAACCTTGGATGGCGAGGGCTGAGCTGTGACCAGACCCCAATTAGATGAACATGAACATGTTTGAGACTGTGAGCAAGTGTCAACTGCTACAATGTGATGAATGGAACCATCTGCTTGTGGATGCAGCTGCTCAAAATTCTAACCAGCTGATTCTTCAGCTCAGGGAACATGCTTGTCTCCTCAGTGTACTGGTTGATGTTGTTGTTAAGTGCCGTCAAGTTGGTTCCAATTCATAGCGACCCTGCATAGGGTTTCTAAGGAACAACTTGTAGGGTATGAACTGCTGACCTTGTGGTTTGCAGTGCAGTACTGATCCTACAGTGTCACATTAGAAGTCCCGTGCTGGGTTAATAAGGACGGGCAATTTAGACATTGGCTATCAAAAACGTGGGGCTTAAAGAAGTCCTGGTGTGGTACTGTGGGCTAAGCACTGGAGGCATGGTCAGTTTGAATTGCAAGGTTGGTGGTTTAAACTTACCAGCCACTCCTCAGAACTGACTCCACAGCACTTACACAACAGACATGAGCCCCCTCTAGCAACAGCCAGATAATATGTGAAAGCTGAGTCACTGTAAAGCTAATGAGCCTGCTGCTTTTAACTTCAGTTAAACCAATTACTCTCCCTCCATCCTCTGCCGAATATCACTTTACAATTTCCTGCCCTTCTAAACTAAATCCAAATGGCAAACTATGAAATGCCTTACAATTATCTTCCAGTAAGTTTCATTATCTCATTTACTTGCTCTGTTTAGAACTGTCTTCACATTTGCATTAGAACACTGTAGGCAGTGCCTAAGATTCAGAAAGTCATGCTTGTTCTACTGACCCATAACCACCAGCTGCTCCTCAAAAACCCTATACAGGGTCACTATGAGTCGGAACCAATTTGACAACACACTTTATAACAACAATCAAACTTCCAGCAACACTTTCTAAATTGCTTAAATATCGCTCATTTGTTGTAAAAGTAGACAAAGATGAATAAAGAAGAAACAAACAAAAAATCAACCTGCTAGAGTGAACCACTGTGAACACTCTAGATGTCAGTTCTTCTAGTAAAATTAAATGAAAGTTTCACAAACACATCCAGAATGTGGGCCATTTATGAGCAAGTGGCCTAGTCTTGTGAAATATAATGGTGGGGAGAGAAGGTGAAGAGACCATTCAGATTAAAGGAAATTTAGGGATACATCAATCAAATGTAATATATCAACAGTAACTCGTCTTGATAAAACAAAACCACTGTCAAAAAAAACAAAAATATCCAAGGATGACTGAAGGCAATTAGAATAGCATTGTAGTTATGCTGAACAATATTCATATTATGGGATGCATGCTAAATAAAGTATTTAAAGATAAAGGGCCACTATGTGTATTTATGGACTCCTGGTGTGCCACTGTAGGATTAGCACTGAACTGCAAACCACAAGGTCAGCAGTTCAAACCCTCTAGCTGCTCCTTGGAAATCCTACATAAGGTTGCTATGAGTTGGAATCAAATCGACAACACTTAACATGCTATTTACCATTTACTTTCATATGGTTCAACCAGAACAACACAATGTATACATAGGAGGGGGCTTCACAAGGTTCATGGAAAAATTCCATTATCTTTTCATTTCTTTATGAAATTTTTTTTCTTTATGAATTTTTTGAAGCTCATATCCAGATAAAGTAAAATGTTTAGAGAGGGATACGTGTGTTTATTGAACTATTTTAACTTTGTGTAGGTTTAAATATTTTCAAGATAAACAGTAACAAGATTAATGATTAAGCATTTATATTTATACTCACATTTATTGCCTCGAACAGCATAGGCTAGCTTCAGTTCCGGGTAAAACTTGCCCATCTGCTCAATCACTTTTCCTGTTTGAAGGGCGAGTTCATATGTCGGGGAGAGGCACAAACACTGGCAGGGAAAGAAGACAGAAGAAGAATTGAGGACATCGGTCTTCCTCTGAGTCCGAGGTAAGACTATGTGAATGAAAGTGCAGAGTCATAAGCTGAAATTCTGAGGGTTGTGGCTGTTTGGGGGTCAGAACTCTGACTCTGTAAAGGCATTGTGGAGAAACACCCACATGTGAGCAAAGATCCAAAATTCCAACTGGAGATTAAAGTTTCCTTTTTACCTACTTTAAAGTTCTCAGAACTTTATAGTGGATGAGAATTGTGAATGAAAGAACCAAGTCTGCCAGCAGTAACCCAAACTGGGAAAGCACGGAAAGCAGGGAGGACTCCTGTTACTGGAACGTCCACCATCTTGCTTGTATTTGCCGTGCTGGGTTCTAGTTTATGCAAAAAGTAATCCAGAGAATGGTATTCAGTTTCTAGCTACAGCATAGCAAAAAAACCACATTCACTAAGTCCTTACCTGGGGGTATCTGTTTGTGGGTTCTACTTGGCTGAGCATGGCCAACACAAAGGCAGCTGTTTTCCCAGTACCTGACTGAGACTGGGCAATCAAGTTCTGTGGGCTGAACAAGAAAGTAAACTGTTTAGACGTTTAGATCTCAAATATCCTTCTCACTAATAAAAATGAAGAACAACGCATAACCAAAAGATGAGCATTCGAAATTCATCTGTAGGAGGAGACCTCGGCTTTGGGAGAAGAGCTACATTTGCCAGCTTCATATCTACACAATATTAGAGTTTTTACAGTAGAATTTGAAGCACGTGGACCACTTGTCTGTTCTCCACAAGACAGACAAAGCGAACCTTTTACAAGGTGAATCAGCTCACGTGACTCCTCTGCTTCCATCATTAGCCATTTCACTCAGAGTGAAAGTCTCCTGCTACACTGCTGCTTCCTCCTCCACTCTGTCACAATGGCCCCAATGCTGGACCCAAAACACAGTAGATACGCTCCAGCCTTGTGCCTAATGCAGGCACTCAATAAAAACTTAGGAATGAAAAAAGGGTCAGCTAATTCTCAAAGGTCTCGACTATCACTGACAGCTTAAAAACAGACTTCTATGAAAGTATTGTTGTTATGTGCTATTGAGTCTGCTCCGACTCACAGCGACCCTGTATCCACAAATTCAAATGATCAGTAGAAACAATCTATAAAGCACTCCACTTATTCACCTTTATAAGCATTGGACTGCAAACCACAAGTTGGTGGTTCAAATCCAACAGCTGCTCCTTGGAAACCCTATACAGGGTGGCTATGTGTCAGAACTGATTCGATGGTACTTAACAACAACACCGTAACAATACAATGTGTGCTCAAAGTGCCAAGCTACAAAAAGATCACTCATCTTGAAAAAAGTCACTGTTTGACACAGAACGAAGGACACATTGAGAAAATGCAGACCTAAACTATTTAGTTTCAGACAAATAGAAAAAGGAGTTTGAAGATTTAGGATTCTATTCAATAAAATGTTAACATAACCATATGTCATGTTTTGTTGTTGTTAAGTGCATGGCATTGGTTCTGACTCATAGTGACCCTGCACAGGGTTTTCAGAGGCTTTTAATCTTTGCAGGATCAGAAAGCCTCATCTTTCTCCAGCAGAGTGGCTGGAAGGCTTGAACCACAGAACTTGGGGTTCGCAGTCCAGTGCTTATCATATGGAACCAATGTGCTCCCATACACCATGTAAACATGGATTTCTCTACAGCATTCCACAAGCTTGAGACCCTGATTATTACCAAAAATGAGCTCAGAAGCCAGGAGCAGCTACATTACCTTAAACAACCTTAGCAATCGTACTATTCAGGACTCCTAGGGTCATGGGTTTTTTTGGAGTCCTGGTGTGGCATTGTAGGATAATGTACTGGACCCCAAGGTTGGCTTGAACCACAAGGTCAGTGGTTCCAACTCACCAGACACTGTATCGGAAACCCTATACAGTGTTGCTGTGAGTTGAAACCGACTTGACAGCACTTCACAACAATATCTCACAATGAGTGCTGGTGTGCTGCTGTAGGATAAGCACTAAACGGATCAACTGCAAGGCCAATGGTTCAAACCCACCAGCTGCTCCTTAGTCACTCAGCCAAACTGACTTGACAGCATTTAACATTATTTAACAAAGTAAACTTTATGTACTCATATAACAAAATTATAGTTGCCATTAAAAGTATGCCAATAAAATTAATGCATAGTTACTGGCATAGAAAGATGATCATTAAGTAAAAGAAAACCAGCACAGAAAACGACATGTGGCTCCACTTTTTGATGTGAAATTATACACTTAGAAGTTTATGTAGTAAAAAGGCTAGCAGGCTCTACTTGAAAATGTTACTAGTATGCAGGGAGGGTGATTACAGGGGATTTCTTTTTTCCCATTTCTGTTTATCTTCTAGCTTTTCTACATTAAGCATATATACCCTTCTAATAATAAAGTTTAAAAACATTTAAAATGGGCAAGAGCTGCATCAGGATACGTACGGTTCAGCGAGCATCAGCGGCAGAGCATTCTCTTGTATCTTGGAAGGGCGGTTGAAGCCCATGGCATAGACTCCCTGGAGAAGCTGTGGTTTCCTAGAAAAACAATTAGCAATGGAAGTCACAGGTTCTTTGGCTGAGGGAAGGTAAATACCTGAGGCACATGCTTCCTCTTCTGCTGCTACAAAGTTTGTAACTAACCACTGACTTGGGGACATGCTGAGCTGAGCACAAAGGGTGACAGACTGCAGTCAGCTTTTCTGGGCTACCCGGAAATTCTATAAAGCTGCTAAGTCCTTAAAAAACATTATATATCTATATGTATGTTGTTATTGTCGTTGAGTTGGTTCCAAAGTGTAACAACGTTGTATGCGGTTTCTGAGGAGTGGCTAGTGAGCTTGAATCGCCCTTTGCAGTTCAAATGACTTTGCAGTCCAGCACATTAACCCACAGCACCATGCCAGGACTACATACACACACATATGGCATAACCCACTATCTACTTGCTTCAAGTTAATTTGAACATTTAGGAAAGAGTGTGGTGCTGTAAGATTAGCATTGGGGACCTAAATGTGAATCCCAGAATTATGAAGGTCATCAACGAAAAATTCGGGACAAATGTGAAGACACTAATGAGGGGAATACATGGACTATAAGACATCTTGAAAACCACACAAACAAAAATAGATAAA